CAAAATACTAGCAAACCAAATCCAAGAGCACGTTAAAAGGATTACACACCATGACAAGTGGAATTTATTCCTGGGATATAAAAATAGTTCAACATAGGAAATCAATTTATGTAATACACTACATTAATAGAAAAAAATATATGATCATCTCAATTGATGCAGAAGAGAAATTTGACAAAATCTAACATATTTTCATAATAAAAAATATTCAGAAAACCAGGACTACAAGGAACTTCCTCAGCATGATAGAGGGCACATATGAYGGGGAAAAAACTAAAGCTAATATCATACTTACTGGTGAAAGACTGAAAGTCCTCCTCCTAAGATTACCAATAAGACAAGAATGCCCACTTCATCATTTCTATTCAAAATAATATTAGAATATCTAGTCAGAGAAATCTGGCAAGAAAAAGATATTAAAGGCACCCAAATTAGAAGAGAAAAGAGGCTGAGACAGGAGGATTGCAAGTTCAAGGCCAGCCTCAGCAATTTAGTGAGGCCCTACATAACTTAGTGAGACTCTGTCTCAAAATAAAATAATCTTGGGCTGGGGATGTGGCTCAAGTGGTAGGGTGCTCGCCTGGCGTGCATGCGGCCCCGGTTTGATCCTCAGCGCCACATACAAACAAAGATGTTGTGTCCGCCGAAAACTAAAAAATAAATATTAAAAAGTTCTCTTTTAAAAAAATTTACAAAAAAATAAATAAAATAATCTCTAGTTGCAGATAACATGATCTTAGTTATAAAAACCGCTGAAACATCCTATAATTAATGATTTTCACTAAGTTGCAGGATTCAAAAAAATACACAAAAACCAGTTGCATTTCTATATACCAACAATGATCACCAGTCCAAACAGCAAAGTAAGAAAACAATTGCATTTACTATAGCATCAAAAAGAACCAAATAATTAGGAATAAATTTAAACAAATATGAAAGACCTGTACACTGAAAACTACAAAAACACCAAAAGAAATTAAAGAAGACAGAAAGAAATGGAAATTTCATGTCATGGATTAGAAGACTTTAATATTGCTAATATTGACAATACTACCCAAAGTTATCTACAGATTCAATGCAATCCCTATTATAATCCCTAAAGTGTGTTTTTTTTTTTTTGAGGGCGGGGTAGGGGTTGTCAGGGATTGAACCCAGGGGTGCTTTATCACTGAGCCATATCCCCAGCCCTTTTTATTCATTTTTTTTWAAATTTTAAGTTGCTGAGGCTGGCCTCAAACTTGTAATCCTCCTGCCTCATTCTCCTGAGTTGCTGGAATTACAGGTGTGAGCTACTACACCTGGCAAACTGATCACTATTGATCTGAAATTTGAATCTACCTCCATGTCCATACTTCCCCTGGCTACCCTGAGAAGTGACAGGGAAATTCCTAACAGTCCTGAACTAGGGTCTTCCATTCCTTTTCAGACTGGAGTCCAACAGATTGAGAAGCTTCCCACATCACACACCACACAGTTGAATGATGGCGTTGAGCTAAATATTTAATCTAAGGGCTGGGGTTGTGGCTCAGCAGTGGAGCGGGCACCTAGCACACGTGGGACCCTGGGTTCGATCCTCAGCACCACATAAAAATAAATAAAAAGTTATTGTGTCCAACTACAACTAAAAAATAAATATAAAAAATATTTAAGCCTCAGTTCGCCCAACCTATAAAATGGATGTGTGTGATAGATCTCAAATTGTGGTCTAAGGACCAGCAGAAAATACAGAATCCCACCCTAGACCTCCAGAACAAGCACCTGCATTTTAAGAAGATTCTTATGTAATTTAGTGTACATGGGAATTTTTGGGGATGGTGCATCAAGACTCACTCAAGAGTAGAATCAGGAGGTATCAGAACAGAGTTGGGCTGCTTCAGTGATGCATGCATGTGCCACAACAGCCCTCAGTGGGCACTGCAAGGGGCATTTTCACACCCCCACACAAGGGTATGTGCATGGTGTGCTGCCACCTGTGGAAGCAGCTCTTGAGGTTCTCACTTGAAGACCTCTCAAAGTGCCTGGACATCCTTGCCCTTGATGCTTTCTATGCCAACTCTACTGATTCTTGGCAGGTTTGTGGGCAGACAGGTGGGTGAACAAACAGGCTAGATCTGTCAAGTTCTGAAGGTGTTTTGAGAGGAATAAACAGTGTATATCTGCCCAGCATGGTGCCTGGCACACAGCAGGTCTACTGATGAGGGCACCTCACCCTCTGAAATGAATGACCACTTCTCATAGGCTTGTGAAAAATGACTGTCCTAAGTGGATATAAAGCCACTCAGTCCATTTCAAAAGCTGTGTACCTCACGGTAATTAACTTTTGTGGGGGAAAAGAGGATGACATTTAGCCAGCGAACCTCTCTGACGAAATAACTTTTTATCAAAATTGCCTCCTGAGGACACTAACCTTGAAGGCCAAGTTCCACAATGAGTTCCCCAAAAGCTGAGTCATTTATCCTCAGCAGATGGGGAAAAGAATTAATTGGGATATATATAGAAACGCATCAGAACCTTCTATGCTCTGGGTCCAGAGGTTTCCAGGCACACCCTGCCCTCCTTCTGTTATCATCACAGTCACCTTGGTTATTAGATCAAGGTGCTCCCCCTTACTGGAGACTGAACCCAGGGTCTCGCACATGCTAGGCAAGTACCCTACCACTGACTTACAGCCCCAACCCTTTTAAATTTTGAAACAGGTCTCACAAAATTGCCCAGGATGGCCTCAAACTTGTAATTCTTCTGCCTTAGCCTCCCAAGCAGCTGAGTTACAGGTATGCACCACATTGCCTAGTTCCTTTCACTTTGTGTGGCAGGGTGTGTGGATGTTACTGGTAATTCACTCTACTTAAGTGTATGAAACTGTGCTAGCCCAGAAACTGAGCTATAGCTCCAGATCTTTATTACTTTTTGAAGACAGGGCCTCACAGAACTGCACAGTATGGCATTCAATTTGCAATCCTCTTGCTTCAGCCTCCCGAGATGCTGGGTTACAGGCATGTACCACCATGTGTGGTACTTTTTTAACATGTAATTATTTATTTCCCGAAGTAAATCAAGTCACATACTTTTGTGACAACTACTCTGGTCTTTTTATCTTCAAATGTGCTAACTTCCTCCCTGCAGGGAATTCACATGTGGTTCTCTTTACCAGAATTGCTGCCCACCCTCTTTATATATGTGCACTGCCTAATACATTACCTTCACACCTGTTCCCAGCTGAGTACCTGCTCCCAACAGGCTCAAGTGCTGACAAGACAGATGGCTTAAGCCCCAGTGTGTGGAGACAACTGGAACTGGGTGCAACTTGATTCCTGATCTCCATAAAACTCCGATGTACACAGACCATGTCTTCTTTACCCAATTCTATACCCTTGCACATGGCCCAGACATACAGGGGCTCATTCAGGCTTGTGTATGAAACTGTGCTAGCCCAGAGTGAAGATGAGACTGAACTCCCAACCTTTCTGCTTGAAGCCTGAGGCTTCAAGTATGTGCTGCCCTCTTCCTTTCTAGGCCTACATGACCCAGTGCCTCCTGGCCCTAGGGTAGCCCCTGGTTTATGTGTCCATCTTGTATATACCCTCATCCCAGGCCTATCCTGTCCTACTTTGGATACATTTGTGTGAGGCTAAAGACCAAGGCTTCATTCAGAAATCTGAGACTGATTTTCTTTTCTCCTTTTCATTTTTCCCCCCATTGGTAGACTATAATTATACTTAATAATGGAAATCCTTTGATAAGCCCTTATTTCTTCATGACATCAGACATGACTGGGCTATGTGGGTACTGAATGAGCCCTGTACATCTTCCCTCTGGACTCAAGACACGGGAAGGGGAAGGCCCCTTCCCATTCTCTCCACTGCCACGATCAATTAATTCAGACTCAACAAAGCACAAGGCCTGTTGCAGATCAGAGAATACAGCACAAGAACAAGCATCCCTGATGGCATCCGCCCCCTGAGATGATAAAAGACATAAGTAGCATCAGTTACTCCCCCAGATTGGGTAGCCAGGCCAACTGGCCCTACACTGCCAGATAAGCCAGAGTCCAAATATTGCCCATTGACTTCACCTACATTAGGTAACTTCCTCATCCAGATCATGGAAACAGCCACCCCAAGGGCTACTTTGAGTTAGGAGGAAGGAATGTACACATGAACAGACAATTACCATGCCTTCACCTGAGCCCCTCAGCTATGGTGCAGACCCTGACACAAGAACACAGTAGAATGCCAGTTCCATGCTTGTCCATCTTATCTCCCCCAAAGAATCTGACTAGAGAAACCCAACCTTCTCTCTACCAGGGTGGTTCTGGAACATACACCCTTAGCAGAGTGAATGAAGTGACAAGGTCTGAGACAAAACCCATAGGAACCAGTTATGTATTATCTTAGAGCACAGAGTAGCTGCAACACCCAAATTAGCTCACTATTCCCAGCATTCCCAATAAGGCAGAATAGGAAGACTAGGCCAAAGCACTAGAAGCACTCTTTGCCTATCTTCCCTTCTATGATATGGGCTCTGCAGTTCTGACAGTCATCTATTTCCCAAAAGATGCTCATGGAATTGCTCTTATCTGCAGCTCCACTGACTGCTTTTCCTTCTAAATGTATCTGAGCTGTCAGGCTGTAAGAATGCAGTGGTGTTGCCCTGGCGGCTCTTACTCCCACCAACAACCTGTCCCTATGCCATACACCCTGACTTCCTAGGAGTTAACAGAAGGGCAAGATTGTGAAGACCCCAAAGCTCAGATCCTGCAAACCCTGTACCACTACACCCTAACCATAACCAAAGCCCAGTCTCAGATTCAACACTTCCCTACTTCTCCCAGTTCCCACTCCTTGTCACCTGCCCCCAGCCTACCCTTGTGATGCTTCAGGTAACTATGAGGGTAACACTGTAAAAAGCAGAGCAATCCAGCCCTGAAGCCAGCAGATAACAGAAATTAAGAGGCCCAAACTTCAGACTGGGAATGCAGCTGGGTACTCAAGACACAGGAAGAGATGCAATAGGTATGCATGTTGTACTACCACTTGTGTATCTGAAATACAGACAACAACTGACACATGAGTTATCATCTGGGAAGGGGAAAGGGAGATAGCTGCCCTGAATCCTCTGAGGGGTGGGCAACATTCTCTTCTATCTAAATGAGCGTGCATTGGGTAAGGGGCAATCCAAGGCTTGTGGTAAAGAAAATCTGTCTCCTAGGTTGCAGGTACATCTATCAGCCTGAACCACATGGTAAGGTTGAAGCAGCAGGGCAGAGGCTCTAGGCTGGCCTAGCCCCATGCTGAACCAACTGGACCAGAACAGGCTTTTCTTAGCAGTTGGCTTTGCACAACTGACATCTGCTGGTCATGTGAGGCACTGCATGCAGCAGCAGCTAGGCACCACCACCTTCTGAAGTTTCCCATCTTCCAAGGTTTTGGGAAATAGTCCCTTCCCACATGCCCAGAGGCACAACCTGGGGCAGCTGGAACTGTTATTCTATTAAGGGGCAAATGGCAGCTTGGCAGATCTGGAGGGTCCAGAGCCTCCCCAGAGTTCAGTCTATCCAGTTAGTAAGCACAGGAGTGTGCGCACATGAAGTGTGGGAAACCCACTCCATCCAGGCAAGGAATCCCAATCCACTTCGAACTCAGGCCCAGGCAATCTCAGGAGGGCATGGCTGTTGGTCTGGATTTCCTTCCTCTGTGCTTGAAGTTGTGCAGTGGGTTCTGGGTCTTCACTTTCTACACGGGCAAAGTAGCAAGTTAGTTGGAGGAATCAGACCAATCATCCAAACACAGACACAAAATGGACAGTGCTGGTACTTGGTAAGGCCCCTATCAGCCATAAGCCAATGATACTACAAGCTGCTATGGATACTGTGAGGAAAAAGGACAACTGAAGATAGAGAGTAGGGCCTGTGACAGTCAGGGAGGTAACCCCAGCTCACACTCCAGTTTTTGGGAGCACTCTCCCCATCCTGAGGGCAAGGCATCTGTATGTCCTGGTGACAACAAAGGGGCAAGGTGGAGCAAGGGTCCTGTTGCTGTCCCCACAGCCCTCAGGGCACATACCTTAGCCTTCCTACAGGAGGACAGCTTCTTTCGCTTCTTGTGAGGGCGTACTAGGTCACGAAGAGCAGGAGGGACTGGAAGAGATGCAGGTCTTCAGCAGAATCCTCACCCAACCCACAAACACCAGCCTCCACAGCCACCCCCACCCCATGAAACATGGTTCCATTACTCTGAGAGGCTCTTGGTCCTCCCTCCAGCTTTCCCAGTATTATCCCACCCCCTTTCTCAGCATTCCCTCCCCCACAAACTCTGTAGCATATTCTTTAATTCTGATCCAAGTAAGAGTCTTCAGCTATTCATTATCACATATGCACTAGGTCAGAGAACGTTAGCACCTTAGACTTTCACTGTCTAAATCACTCTTAAATTCATTGCAATGAACATGTAACAAAAAAGAAAAATAGGGGCTAGGGTATAACTCAGTGGTAGAATATGTGCTTAGTATGTGGGAAGGAGAAGGAAGGAAAATAATGTCAAGAAAAACTGAGCCAAAATTAAAAAGGCTGGACAATTTTTTCACATATGTCCCTTACTACAAATTCACCAGCCCCTACTGCTTCCGCCCCCAAACCTGACCTTGACCCTGCCCTCCTCCTGAACTCCCAGATAGGCCACAACTGATTCTTTCCACTTTCCCCTGGCTTCTGGACTCCTGGCCACATCCTCTTGGAGAGTGACTTTGCTCCTACCAGGCCCCTTAGGTCAAAGTTCTGGCCTCCCCTCCTGGCATTTCAGACCACAGCTGGAGTCTCCTCCAGCTCACTATCCCTTGGAAGCCTGGCTTCTACCCCTCCCTCTAGCATCTCCATGCTCCCATCTCTCCTAGGCCCTTCCTTTTCTACCATTCAGGCCTTTCCACTTCCAAGGCAGGAATATCACACCTGCCTGTTGAAAGCTACAGCCGAAGGGGCCACGCAAACTTCCAGCTGCCAGCTGATGATTGGCTCACAGTGGCCCCAACAACTTCTAGCTGCCAACTGATTGGCTCCTCTGCGGTGATGCTCATTGGGCTGTTTCCCTGCCCTTTCAGACCACGGAACTGCTCATTGGGGGACTTTTTGGCTCCGCCCACATGACCCAGCCAATCGGCCTCAAGAGTAGGAGGAGTGGGGGTGGTTGGGAGGCTTGTGGGAAGCAGGTGGTGGCAGTTGGGCTCTGAAGGTTTTTCCTGAGGAGCTGTTTTGTTTGGGGTGTGTGGTTCTAAAAATAAAGTTCGTTTCTTTTGACAAGTGGCTCCTGAATTGTGCCCAGCCAGACTGCAGCACCTTCCAGTTTGCTTCAGTTCAGGCAGACCAGAGTCCATGCATGGGGAGGGCCTATATTCGTTGCCCATGGCACATCCTTGCCACTCTTCTTAAACCCAATTTAAGCATATAATATACTCTCATTATCAAAAATACACACATGGACAACAGAAGCTTATGTGAGATGAGAAGGGTCAGCCAGGATGAATGGCTGCTCTCCATTCCTGTTTCTGTCCTGCAGTGTCTATCTCCCTGTCATCTGCTCTTACCTAGACACTCCACAGGTGTCCAAGCCATTACTTCAGTGCCTGACAATCCAGAGTCTGCTCCAGCATAGGAAGATTTGCCTCCCACTCAGGATGTTCCCCGAAACCTGCTCACTCTCTTCAGCACACAAAGCCATTCAACCAACTACTAGCTCATTCTGTCATTCCACCCTGTTCTGCAAGCCTGCCTGGCTCAAATCTTAGATCTGCCATCATCTCTGCACTACCTGTTTTCTTATCTCCACAAAGGAGACAGTACACCCTGTGGGGTGAAGTGGACAAGTCTACATGTGTGAACATATACTGTGTACTTGTTTGTGTGGATACATGATGTGCTACCTGGATCTCTATGTCCTGTTACTTGCCTGTCCCACAAGCTTCCCCAGCATCGAGCACAGGAGCTGTCACAGAATGGCAGAAGAACCCCTGCCATGTCCCCCAGCCCACTGCCTCCTGATCCCTCAGTGACACTCACCCAAGTAGTCAGGTACATGGCCCAGGTGAGGTTTCACGACTGCAGGGTGCAAGGGCAGGTCATGTCGCAGCAGCTGGAGATCCCTGGGATTGTCTTCAAAGTATGTCTGACAGTGGGCAGAGAGTTTGGCGAAGTTAGTATCTTTTTTTTTGTGACTTTCTTTCACTTAGCATTGAGGTTTTGAGGTTTGTTTTTTAATTTATTTTTGCGGGGGGTGGGGAGTTTTGAGAATTAGACCCAGAGCACTGTACACATTAGGAAAGCACTCTACTACCAGCCAATTTTTGTTTGTTTGTTTGTTGGAGTCTGTGTCTTGCTATATTGTCCATGCTGCTCCTGAACTCCTGGGATCAAGCAATCTTCATACCTCAGACTCCTGAGTAGCTGGGAGCACAAGCATGCCACCATATCTGGCCAAATGAAGTTTTTTTTTGAGCTTTTATTATCTATCTATTTATTTTTATGTGTTGCTGAGGATGAAACCCAGGGACTCAAATGCGCTAGGCGAGTGCTCTACCACTGAGCCATACCCCCCAAATGGAGTTTTTTTATAGTTGATAATTTTAATGTAATATTTTATTTTATTTATTTATTT